TCATAAGGTAAGGTCAATATGCCATTGATATTGATTATTATCATTGTTGTTTGAAAAATATTGAAATACTTGAAAGGTAATAATAGTTACGATGAAGATGAAGATGAAGATGATGATAGTTGCATGTGTGTGTGTGTGTTTGTAATAAAAGGCAATTATTATTGAATGAAAACATTGGACTGAAGATTAAGGATCAATTGTGATTTCGGGAAGAAGAAAAAATGATTTTTAATCTCACTCGCTAATCCCAGGATATGATGATACTGATAATACTTCAATACGACGAGTGTGAGTGTATGTGCTTCTGGTCCGCGCTTATTTTGTGTGGCAATACTTTTTTTTTACATATGAATCAGAAAATGATGATGATGATGATGATGATGGAGGGAAAGATGATGATGAAAACTGTTTTGTCCGTTGGATTTGTATATTGTTATCATCTTAATCTTCAGTCCAAGTTGATCTTTAAGCTCAACGACGTTAAGCTAAAAAAATTAGATTCGAGGTGGCGACAAATAAAAAATTATATATCAAAGAAAGAGAGAGAGAGAGAAAGAGAAAACTTTTCTCTTTGTTCGAATTTTCTCTTTCTTTTTTTCTTTCTTTTCTTAACATTGAATGTACATATTATATATATATTGGTAGCATCGTTCTAGTAGTTAGCATCCATGTTGTTGTTGTTATTATCAACATTTTCATCGTCATTGATATTACATGTATATGATATCGTGTGTATGATAACAAAGCACCTAAGGGAAAACCCGAGAAAGAAAAAAAAATATTAATCTGAGGCCATTATTGTTACTATTAAAACCCAACCTAAGGATTAGGCCATTTTTGTTAATGTCGACACATCATTCAAAAGCTTAGCCTTTTCCGTTCAAAATGATTACATTATTATTGATTATTTATTAAGGTAATACACTTTTTGTTTGGAGGGTATTCAGATATCCCTCTCACTCACCCTCTCTCTCTCTCACTCTGTAAGAAATTCAATTTTCCGTTCAGTTAATTGAATGTCCATCTAATACAATTACCTGTGGATGAGTGGGTGGAATGGGTGAAATTTAAGATGCTAACAATTAGCTGAAAAGGTAAAATTTGAAACATGATAATCAACTTATTGTTAATCCAAAGGGTAAACTGTTAAAACTAACGGTAAAACTTAAAGGTTAATATCTTTGAGATTATCCTTTCATCTTAATCTTAATCTTGATTGTTGTTAATATTTTCGTATGAGAAGTGTGTGTGTATGTTTATGTCCAAGATTGTTGACCATCATCACCTCCTCTTCCTCTGGATGGATAATCTTTATCCGAATTGAGTTGGTATATTAGCTATTCTTATGAGGAGAGGATTAGTGAGTCAATTGTGGATAAAAAATCACTTTGGATTAACTCTTTCGCTCTCTCTCTTTCTCCATCTTTTTCTCTATGGATCTGAATCCAAGGTTCTTATTGAAGATTTAAGTTTTTAAATCCAGTTTAAGAAGCCAGAGATTAAGTAATAATAACTTTCTACCTGTGTTAGTTTGAGATCAACAGGTAACAAAATGGTTTAGATTTCTTGAAACTTTTACCTTATATTTTTCCATAACAAACAAATAAACAACAACAACAACAACAACTCGATAAACTTAATAACCTTTAAATTGTGATTACAATTTAATTCCCAGATAATTTACACCAAAGACTATTATCATAATCATAATGATAATCAATACTGACAAACAAAAAAAAACTTGATACACAATCAACAGTTTTCACAGTTTATCCAATGGGTGATTAAAGGTAATTAAATCAATTAAGTCAACAACATAATACTACAGTTAAGTATATTGTGATATGTATATATGATTAACAATAATATTAAGTATTAAACTAATACACAACAATCAACAACAATCAACAACAAAACCAACGGATTGTGTTAATCACAACAATTTAACTAATCATCATTATCCAATTGATCTGGAGAGCCATTCTTAATTTTTGTTGTCATCGTAATTGTATTTAAAAAAAAAAGTTATCAAGCTAATCATTTAAATGCCTTTTCAATGAGAAAATGATTAACTGATTATTATCTTGATCATCATGATTAACCATAAGATTAAGGACCTTTTTTTTTGTTGATTATCTCCCGTTAATATGTTGGTTAATCTTTAGCTGGTTTTCATTACGATTATGATTATGATTATGTTCATCTCTATGTGTGGTTTAAATAAACCGATTTAACGGAAGATTAGGTCAAAATCAAAAGTCCATTTCTTTAAATCTGATTAGTATTGATTACGATTAACTGGTAAGTATATTGATAGAAGTGAAAAATCAACAACAATCAGTTAATTGTTGGTAACAGCAACACTAACCTGTGTCTCTGTGTGTGTGTGTGTTTCAATGTTAAATTATTTAAAAGACTCTAAGGTGATTAGTTAATTGTTGATATTCAATTGTTATTGAATCAATTTTGGACAAATTAATTTATGATAATTTTAATTGTGCTCATCAAGATAATAGTTTAAGTAAATAAGCAAGTTAATTGTTTCCGTTTAAAAAGTGATGATATTTATTCATAAAGTTTTTTTTTCTCGTCAAACTTTTTCTCAACTTTGTTAAGGATTAAGTTTTTTTTAAGAAAAACTTTTTACCCCTAAAGGGTTTTTACTTGACCCTTTCCCTTTATCTTGACCATTGGGATGTTACTTGGGCATTTGTTACACACTGACCATTGTTTGAGTCACTTAAGTGGTCACTTTTTTTTTGCTTTACTTTGAAATTAAGATTATCTTTTAGGAAACTTTAATCTCTCAATGAAAAAATATTCATAATCATTGATTGAGTTATAATCATTGTCGCTAATTAGTGTCTATTGATTGCTGATTGATTCTTCATCACTTTCACTCTTTTTTTTGTTCATTTTTAAACTGTCAACAATTAAATGTTTATATATTCACTCTTAAATTAACCCGAAGCAATTAACTAAACCATTTAAGAATCAATCAATTGATTGAATATTTTCAACTAAAAAGGATTATTGATAAAATGAAAAAGATAAAAGGATTTCCAGAAACTTTTAATTGCAAGTGAATTAATTACAATTTAAATTGATTTTCTATTGTGATAAACAATTAGTAAACCATGACAACGACTTGATTGTGAACCAAATTAAGCGAAACATTGTTAATCCATTGGTAATAAACTCGAGTAATTGATTAGATGGACAATATTTTCCTATCCATTTACTTGGGATAACAATTCCCCTGACCAGCTCATCATCATCATCATCATCATCAGCATCATTTAGCCCCTTGGGCCTATCAAATTAACATCATTAGGATGAGGATTTGATATTATTATTGTTAACAGGTTTCTGATTAACGTGCTAATATCTGATGGGTAAGTGAGTGGACAGTTGATTATCAATATAACAACAAGAATATCATATTTTAATATTAATTTCATGTATGTATTGTTATCAAATGCTAACTGGACATTAACTGGACACAATGTTTGTCAGTTTTTCTTGTTTATTTATCTAAATGATAACAACAACAATTGATAATAATGTTGATATTGTTAATATAAACATACTATCAGGCTCATCCTTTCATCACTCATTGTCCAGTATAAAACCATCTGTCCAGTTAATTCAATCCATATTCATCCCCACACTATCATCATCACAAAAATACTGACCAGTAAATCTGATCAGTTAATAGTAATCATGTTATTAATTAAGCGCGACAATTGTTTCAAAAGAGTTACAATGAAAATATTGACGATTTGCCAACCGTTTGATTGATCATTTAGTGATTTTTTTGCCTCTTTCAATATCTAATAATTTGATTGTTGCCAATTTTTGTTCATCTTAAATTGTTGACAATCAATTTTTTAAATAAACTTGACCCATAAATTGTTTCTCTCTCTCTGTATGTGTGAGTCTTACCTATGACCACAATGATAATAATAATGAAAGGAAAAAGTTGTCACTTGAACCGTGTTGATTGTTATGTATTATAATCATTGTTATAACCATTGATTTAAATAGTTTGAGGGGTAAAATTGTTGTTGATTGTATTACCGTTGATTGTTGCAGTTGGTTGTTGGTTAACTGTTTGATTGTGTTTTCATACTACATCAAATGTGAATATGTAGATTCAATTGTTAATTGTTGCATTTGTATGTGTGTGTGTGGATGTTAAAAGGTCTGGGTTTGTTACTATTGTATCACTTAACTTGTAACAATCAACTAAACATCATCATCATCATCACCATCAACATCATCCTCCTTATCATCATCATCAGTCAACTGTATACACAATTACAGTAGCGATATTCAAATTGCTATTACATTTGAATGTAAAAAGTATCGAGGGTAATCATTGATGAAAATGAGATCGAACTCACAATTTCCGTTTATTTTTGCTTCTTCTTTAAGTGTTTCATAAAAATTTGTGGTTTACCTTTGCAATGATGGAAAAGGTATCATCAAGATGATGATTGAAAAAGATAGAGAGAGGGAGGGAGAGAGAGAGAGAGAGAAATGATGATTGACTAGTCAATCAAAGAAAAGGAAGACAAGAAAGAGAAAGTGAAATTGAAACAGTTTGTTATTTGCACTTTTGTCCACTCAATGTGATGAGAAGAGGAGTGAGTGAGAGAGAGAGAGAGAGAGAGAGAGAGAGAGAGAGAAAGGGAGATGATGATTGAAGAAAATGATTGAGCAGCAAATGTAAAAGATGAAAAGCTTTTTGTAAATCGACCTAAATTGTTACCAATTTACTGATTGTTTGTTGTATTATTTGTATCGCTTGTTATCAAGGTGCCACTGGTGTTGAACGATCAACATGATGATGAAGATGATGATGAAATTGATGAGGACAATTATATTGTTCATTTGCTTTAACCTCTTGTTAACCTTTTCTTATTACAAATTAACATGATTAAGAGAAACAATTGATTAACTTTATCTACGCACAAATGATTAAGATGAGAAGAAAATTTAGTTTTAATTGTATTCATTTATTATTATAATTCCGATGATGAACTTATATATAAATATGAAGAGAAAGTGATAGAGTTAGAGTTAGAGAAAGGAAAGAGACAGAGAGCGAGAGAAAGAGATTAAGGATTAATGAACATTTCCTAATGATGATTTCCATAAGCTGAATAATCCATCCCAGGGTAAAAATTATAATTTTGTTCCTGGTATTCATTGTATATTTGTGGATGAGTGTGAGTGTATGGATGATGATGATGGCCATAGGCACTTGTTGTTTGATCGGCCGGGTTCCAGAGTCGGTGATGGTTAGAGTTATAAATTGGTGACACTGTTGGTGGTTGTGTTGGAGGTTGTGTTGATGATTGTGTTGATGATTGTGATGAGGGTTGAGATGAGGGTTGAGTTGATGGTAGTGTTGATGGTTGAGTTGATGGTGGTGGTGGTGGTAACACTGTTGATGAGGATGAATTTGTTGTTGTTGTGGTTGATGATGATGAAGATGAGAGAGGTTGATTATTATTATCACTTTCCATTTTGATCTTTTTCACTTTTGCTTTTCCATTTTGTTGTTGTTGCTGTTGTTGCCGACATTTGGCCCGGCGATTCTTGAACCAAACCTGAACCCTTGATTCGGGTAAATTGATTTTCGCTGCCACTTCCTCTCTCATGAAAATGTCCGGGTAACGAGTCTTTTTAAATAACTCCTCTAACTCATCTAATTGAGCACGGGTGAAGGTCGTTCTCTCCCTTCGTTGTTTACGTGTTGGTGGTAAATTTTGTTGGTGACAAGTCGGTGGTGACATGGTCGCACTTGGAGACATCGCTCCATAATAAGGATAAATATAACTTGAATAGTAATCCATTGGATACAAATAAAAATACCAACTAATGAATCGTGGTGGTGGTGGTGGTGGAGAGAGAGAGAGATGTGTTTCTTTGAAGATGCTGTGGATTACTAACTTGAACTGACAATCGTTTTAAATAAAGTATAAAGAGGAGGTGGCAAGTGAGATGGTTGGAGGAGGGAACTCTCAGTATATAGGAGGGAAAAGGGAGGAGAGAGAGTGGAAGTGGAAGAGAAAAAGATGATGAAGAAAGAGAGAAAGAGAAAGAAAGAGCAGATGGATTTAAGTGAGAGAGAGATTGAGGATTAAGGGTTTTCTTTGCAAGAAATAATGAAAATCAGGGGTTAATCTCTTTGGAAGATAAGCAAAAAGTGCCAATGGCTCTGTTAATCCTTTAGGGTTCTCTCTCTCTCGATCTCTTCCTCTCTCATCACATCCTCATCTCAGGATCTTTTCATCACCCACCTCATCTTATATATGCTTTTCTTACTCTCACCAAATGATGAGAAGAAACAAAAAAAAACCAAAACATTTTCACCCAAAATCAAGTTTCAAATCAATTTTGTTTACTATCAACAATTAGATCAACTATCTAATCATAATTATGATTATTTAATAATCGACTCCATAAAAAACATCATCATCATTATACTATCAAGGTTAATCTTATTGTTTATCATCATCCGTATGATTATCATCTAATTATCATCATCATCTTCATCATTGTATCTTTGATTGTGATTAAGATACACAAGAGAGAGAGAGAGAGAGAGAAAATCAAATCAAAATCAATATCAATTGACAATCCATTAGGTTGATGATGATTAACTTTTCATGCTTTGTTGATTATATACACACACTCACTTGATCAATTCAATTAACTTAACAAATCAAATCAATTTTATCCATCATATTAAATTATCATCTCTTTCATTGTATCACAATTTTCGGCATCATCAGGAAGTGGAAATACATTATAACACATAAAGAAATAGATGAAGGCGAAAAGTTAATACAATCGAAACTTTTTTCTCTCCATCATCTTTATTATGTGAAGAAAAAAAAAAGTTCTGAGAGAGAAGAAAAAAATTCGAACTCGAAAAAACTAAAGAAAAGTTCTAACAGAATATTTTTATTTAAATCGTGGTGATAATGGATAACGATAACATTTGATTAACTAAATATGAGAATGATTTATTTAATCACCATCATACATTAACCATTGTCATCAACTGTTAACTGGTAAATCTTAAGGTAAATCAATGAGGAGAAAAGTGAACAGAACAAAAAAAAAAGTTTTTTTTTCTTCTTCCATTTCCATTAATATTATTTATGGAATCATATTATCAAGGGAATTAATGATAATATTAAATAATTTACTAATAAAATATAACAATAATCTTGTCATCAAGTTTAATGTCAATCTAATGATTTTGGATTCACCCAACAATTAAGATAAAATTGATTCCATCAAGTTTTTTTTTTTTTACTTCAAACTGATTAACATCAAATTGATTGATCCAAAGTTTAGCTCCATCAACATGTTGAATCTACATCAAGGTAAATGTTTCTTTTCCTATTCGGTTACATTAGGAGTTTTTTTTTCGCTCTCTTGTGAAAATGATGACAAAAGGATGATGAGGAAACAGAAATAGGAAGAGACAGAGGAGGTTGAAGATGAAAATGATGATAATGTGATGAAAGAAGGAGAGAGATTGGAGAAAATGATTGAGCAGCAAATGTAAAAGTTAAAAAGCTTTTTGTAAATCGACCTAAATTGTTACCAATTTACTGATTGTTTGTTGTAATATTTGTATCACTTGTTATCAAGGTGCTACTGGTGTTGAACGATCAACATGATGATGAAGATGATGAGGACAATTATTTTGTTCATTTGCTTTGACCTCTCTCGGTTTAACCTTTGGTTAAGTTTTTGTTTGTTTTCTTTCTGATTTTTGGAGAAAGGCCAATTTTTGAATTCGTATCAGGAATCATCAACATAATTTAATTGTTGTAAAGTTTATCCATTTCATCATTTACTATTAGTTTGTGGATCAACCGATGGACAAGTTGAACCCTGGGATCCAAGGATTAGAGAGCGAGTTGGTATTCTTGACTGTGCACTTGGTTCATTAACGGTTGGCCCTCAGGGTATTCTAGCAATTAAATCAATCGCCTTCAAGGATGGAGTTAATTTAGCCGTCGGCATGGAAACTAGACTCGTGCTTTTATACGATTAAAAGTGTCGTTTTCCACCAAGAATGTGTCATCTCAATGGACAGTAAAGTGGTCGAAATTTGGTACCGAGAAACTGGTAAACCATTTACATCGGTTCAAAGTCAATATGATCTAAATGATTTGCGTCTTATTTCTGAAAGAGGAATGTTTTTCCTCGCATGTGAGAATCAAAAGAATTGGAAGAAGATCAAGATGATGCCATTTACGATGATCTAAAATTCGTGACCACCAAAGATTTAGAAGAAATTGGACTTAATTATATAATTGGTACCAATTTATTGAGATCATATATGCATGAATTTTTCATCGTCCTTACAATAAAGCTAAAGCCACTTCGAATCCATTTGCCTATGAAAGTCACAAGAAGAAGAAAATTGCTGAGGGCATGGAGGTGGAGTTCCCTCCTCCGGCCATCTAAATTGCTACTTCATCTTCATTTAAAACAATAGTTTAGGTTAGCTTTCCACAGCATCTTCATCTAAACACTTCCACGATTCATTAGTTGGTATTTTTATTTGTATCCAATGGATTACTATTCAAGTTATATTTATCCTTATTATGGAGCGATGTCTCCAAGTGCGACCATGTCACCACCGACTTGTCACCAACAAAATTTACCACCAACACGTAAACAACGAAGGGAGAGAACGACCTTCACCCGTGCTCAATTAGATGAGTTAGAGGAGTTATTTAAAAAGACTCGTTACCCGGACATTTTCATGAGAGAGGAAGTGGCAGCGAAAATCAATTTACCCGAATCAAGGGTTCAGGTTTGGTTCAAGAATCGCCGGGCCAAACGTCGGCAGCAACAACAAAATGGAAAAGCAAAAGTGACAAAGAGTGAAAGTGGTAGTGCTCAACCTATCTCACCACCACCACCACCACCAACTCAACCACCAACATCGTCACCAACTCATAACTCTAACCATCACCGACTCTGGAACCCGGCCGATCAAACAACAAGTGCCCATGGCCATCATCATCCATATACTCACACTCATCCACAAATATACAATGAATACAAGGAACAAAATTATAATTATTTCACTGGGATGGGCTGTTCAATCTTATGGAAATCATCATTATGAAATGTTCATTAATCCTTAATCTCTCTCTCTCTCTCTCTCCTTTCTCTAACTCTACCACTTTCTCCTCATGTCCATATCTAAGCTCATCGTCACAATTATAATAAATAAATACCATTAAAACTAAATTTTCTTCTCATCTTAATCATTTGTGTGTAGATAAAGGCAATCAATTGTTTCTCTTAATCATGTTAATTTGTGATACAATTAATTCATCATCAAATGGAGAGTATATATTTGCAGGTTTTCATGTTCTGTGATCGTTATGGTGAATTTCATTCACAAAGTGGTAGATATTATCGCTTACGAATTACTTAATTTGGCTGTGATATCCACTATCATCCATCTAATTGTGATCTGTTCTTTGTTGGTGATACAAGTGATATTATCCATTGTCGCCGCCACGTATCTAATTTTTTTTAGCTTAACATCGTTGAGCTTGAAGATCAACTTGGACTGAAAATTAAGATGATGAAAATCCGACAGACAAAACAGTTTTCATCATTTTCTCTCCATCATTATCATCTTCATCGTTTTCTGATTTATGTGTAAAAAATGTATCCCCACACAAAATAAGCGCGGATCAGAAGTACAGACATTCACTCTCGTCGTATTAAATTATCATCAGTAACATCATATCCTGGGATTGTATTAATAGATACAGTTTATCAGTTAAAATGTATAATAACAAAATTATTATCGATTATCTGAAATTTTTTTCATATTCTAAATATCACATTCGAATTCCAAGTGGCACGATTCGAGTTGCGATAAAAAGACAGAATATTATGTTTGAAAGTCCGTGAATTATTTTGACCTGGTTTTCAGTCGAAAAATTTGCAAATGGTTTTTAGCCTTTGGGGTGGAACTTGACTGGACTTATTTTTTTGAAGATCGAAGTGAAGAACAGTTTGAACATCTTTATTCTTTGTTTTGGGGTTTGACTACGATTAGAATGCTGCGACTTTGGTGGGGCTTTTTGATCCATCAACTCTACGTCGCTCTCTTTCACCACGTTCTGCTCGTTCTTTATCTCTAGGACTTCTACTTCGCTTTCTTCGCTCTCGATCTCGCTTCTCATCTCTACTTCTACTTCGTCTTCTTCTACGATCTCGATCTCCTCTGTCACCACGTTCAGTTCGTTCAGAACGTTCAGTGCGTTCACCACGATCACCACGATCTCTATCACCTCTTTCTCCCTTTCTCCTCTTTCTCCTCTTTCACCTCTATCTCCTCGATCTCTTTCACGATCTCTAGATAAATTCATACGTTCAAATTTCTCTCGTTCCCTGTAAGAGACATTAAAAAAAAAGAAAAAAAAAGAAAAAACAAGTTAATATTAGTAAAGATCATTAATAATAATGATGAAAAAAAATGAAACTTACGCATCATCATATCTGTTATCTTCTCGCCCAGAGTGTTTAGCATTCTGATCAGGTCCACCTCTTCGAGTTCCGCCTAATCCTCCACCTAAATGAAATGAAAATGAGAAAAATTTAATAATCAACCACAAGAAAGAGCAAAATCACAATCAATAAATTGATCGTAAACTCTAAACTTACCTAATTTCCTCGGTAACCATCCTTTGACAGTTCTACCCCTTTCAACATCCACTAGAACTCGACGTCCATCAATTTTCTTACCGTCAGCATATTTGTAAGCCGCTGTATAAGATCAATTGTAAAAAAAGATTTGCCATAAAAAACAATACTTACCGATGGTATCGGTTCCTATTCATGAATAGGTTCACATAACAATTTAAAAAAAAGTATCAAACTATTTGTCTACCCTAAATACTTACCAATAAACAAAAAAGAGTTGACTTGCAAGTAGAGAAAAGTTCAATTGATTAACTGTAAATTGTCACAATTAAACTGATTGATTCAACAAGGATAACGATTGAACTTTTCAAAGGTGTAGACAAATAGTTGATTAAGAGACAAAACTTTATATTAATACCTACATTACTTTAGACAGTCATACAATTTCACAACAGAATATTAGAAAATTCAGAGAGTTGAGTTGAGAGGGAAAAATGGAAGACAGAAAGAGAGTGAGAGAGAGAGAGAGCAGGGAGAGAAAGTTGAGAAAAGGGCGCGAGAGTATAATGATAGAAAGAATCAACAACAAATTCACGACAATTAGAAGATGAAGGAAAAGGTAAGAGAGAAAAAATAATAATAATAAAATATCAAAACTCGAATAAATTACCTGGATTTACCTATTACCTGTACTGTATCCAGTTAGGTTGTAAAAATTTTCTATTATTGCATTAGAATCCCAGAGATGGCATAACCTAACCGAGTATCAATTTAACTTAGAACAGAAAATAAATAATTGATATCATTTTCTCCCTGACGATTACATTTGGGGAGTTGCTCACATATGAACAATGAGAACATGATAACTATTTTAATATATAATTATATTATTATATTAGGATGGTGAGAAAAAAAAACTTACGATTGTGATACTCACATAATTGTTTATCATCATTTTACATGAAAGATCAATGTAAAAATCAAATACACAAAAGATTCACTTATTGACCTACAATAATTATGGATGATTATGATTTAAAAGAAAATACTTAACAGATGAATCCATCCAATTAAATATTGATATCCAACGAGAGAAAGAGAAGAGAGAGAGAGAGAGAGAAAGAGAGAGAGAGAGAGAGAGAGAGAGAGAGAGAGAGAGAGATAATAGAATGAAAGAGAAGAAAAGTATTTTGATGACAGAAAATACAAATTTTCTCTGGTCATTTTCATCGCCCTGTGAATTTATATTCAAACGAAAAGATGATAAATCTAAAAGAAGATTAAATTTAAATCTTACCGGAAATCTTACCCTTCAAACCAATACACAACTTAGATAATTTTTCTCTCTCAATCTTATTGAGACAAGTAGAATTCCGTTAAATAACAGGGAAGGATTGGATTAAGGAAGAGAGAGAGAGAGAGAACAAGACGGAGAGAAAAACAGAAAAAAGAAAAGTTCTACAAATTTACCTTACCACACCAAAAGAATGAAAAAAGAGAGAGAGAGAAAGAGAGAGAAAAAACCTCACCACGTTCTTACCGATAAGATAATTGAATTTTTAAACCAAGAAAATTAGTATAATTAAAAGAATTGTTAACATACCGTGCATATCCCGTTCATGTTCATATTCAATGAAAGCATAGCCTCGATGTTTCCCACTTATTTTGTCATGAACAATTATTACCTGGAAAGGAAACAATTGATTAGAAAAATTCATGAGAGACTAATGAACAATTAAACCTTTTTGATGGTTCCATAAGCTTCAAATTCTCGTCTCAATTTACTCTCTGATGTGTCATAATTAATTCTAGCGATAAACAGGGTCTTATATGGATCGGTTGTTGAAGTTGCATTATTCTGAGGATCCCATGAAGCTATTCTCTGTTCTAACCTGTAGATGACTTGTTCAGCTTTTTCTCTTCGTTTTCTTTCAAGATGTTCTTCTCTACTTTCAATACGCTTAGGCGGTGGAGTATCCTTAGGATCCTGTAAAAACAAAGAAACGAATAAAAAAAAAGAGAAATTAGTAAATAATCCCCAGGAAAGAAAAAACTGAAGATACTCAAAATAGCAAAACGGTTTAAGCAAAATCGAATCAATCAATTAGCTTTAAAAAGTTTGAATAATAACCTTTTTTACTCTTTTGAGGTACAATCGAAAAAACCATTGGAAAAGAACAAAAAAAAAGAGAAAAAAAAATATAGACCTTCACTTGGGTGTTTGTCTACATTATCCTTTTCTCTCTTTTGTTTAAACTGTTTCACATTTTAAAAATCACAGTAAATTGCTGAATAAACAACAATCAACTGTTTTAGAAATTTAATTTCAATAATTAGAAGAAAAAAGAAACAAATAGAAACTCACCTCAAAATAGGAAACGTATTTGGCTACGCCGGTATAACCAGTAGTCTTTTTCTGGAAAGGTAATTTATCTACCGGAGGAAGATATGGAATAGGATCACGAGGGGCGAATAACGCCAATAGATTAGGTGGTAAATATTGGGTCATTCCTAATTAGTAAATTATCAATTAGAAAAGAAACAAAAACAATTACACTTACAATATAATAGTAATTAAATTAATTAAAATTTTGTTCCCAATCAATTTTAAATTAGACAAGAAATCAAATCAAAACAAAAACCTAAATGAAAAGGAAACCAAATGGTTCACATTGTCAACCTGAATTCTTCAAACATGCTGCCATCTGTTGATGGAAAAGTGAACTAAGTATCGGATACTTTGGATTCTCTTTTTGAATCTGTTTTCGATACTTCCATGTGGTTGACTTTTGTTTTGTTTCTGTTTTTTTCCAACAATTTGATTGTTAATTGTTTAATCGGTTTAATTGTCGAATTTTGGTGGTCCATTTTAGAACCATGGAGGTGACCGATGTTAATAATGTTAAGATTTACAATCTAAGTTGTGGTAAAACGTTTCCAGATTGGTTACCCGATCGGAAGAAGAGGCAATTGTTGAAAAAAGAGCCATCACTTAAGAGGAGAATTGAATTGATTCAAGATTTTGAGATGCCTCAACTTTGTAATACAATTAATTTATCATCAAATGGAGAGTATATATTTGCCTGTGGTGTATACAAGCCGACAATGAGATGTTATGATTTGAACAATTTATCAATGAAATTTGAAAGATGCTTCGATTCGGAGATAATCAAATGTAAACCACTTTCAGATGATTATACAAAATTAGTTTTCATGTTCTGTGATCGTTATGTTGAATTTCATTCACAAAGTGGTAGATATTATCGTTTACGAATTCCTAAATTTGGCCGTGATCTTGACTATCATCCACCTAATTGTGATCTATTCTTTGTTGGTGATACAAGTGATATTATCCGATTAAACTTGGAGAAAGGGCAATTTTTAAATCCATACCAGGGATCATCAACATCATTTAATTGTTGTAAAGTTAATCCATTTCATCATTTACTAGTTTGTGGATCAACCGATGGACAAGTTGAAGCCTGGGATCCAAGGATTAGAGAGCGAGTTGGTAGCCTTGACTGTGCACTTTCAGCATTAACGGTTGACCCTCAGGGAATTCCAGCAATTAGATCAATCGCTTTCAAGGATGGAGTTAATTTAGCCGTTGGCACGGAAACAGGGCTCGTACTTTTATACGATTTGAGAGCAAATAAACCATATTACACGAAAGATCATATGTATGGACTGCCGATTAAAAGTGTCGTTTTCCACCAAGAATGGGTCATCTCAATGGACAGTAAAGTGGTCAAAATTTGGGATCGAGAAACTGGTAAACCATTTACATCGGTTCAAAGTCAATATGATCTAAATGATTTGTGTCTTGTTCCCGAAACGGGAATGTTTTTCCTCGCATGTGAGAATCAAAAGATTCAAAGTTTCTTCATTCCTAGTATGGGACCAGCTCCCAAATGGTGCTCGTTTTTGGATTCAATTGTTGAAGAATTGGAAGAAGATCAAGATGATGCCATTTACGATGATTACAAATTCGTGACCACCAAAGATTTAGAAGAGATTGGACTTAATCATCTTATTGGTACCAATTTACTGAGATCATATATGCATGGATTTTTCATCGATCATCGTCTTTACAATAAAGCTAAAGCCACTTCGAATCCATTTGCCTATGAAAGGTACAAGAAGAAGAAAATTGCTGAGGCCATGGAAGCAGCGAGTGGAGATCGTGTTAAATTACAACCTAAATTACCTAAAGTTAATCAAGAATTAGCCAAGAAATTATATGATCTTGAATTAAGTGGTGATGGTTCAAGGAAAGCGAAACAAACTGTCGCACTATTGAAAGATGAACGATTCAAGAGTCTTTTTGAAAATGAAGATTTTCAAATTGAGCAAGATGATTAATTTAATTGATTTCGAATTTTGTAAATAACAATCTGACATATGTTGACACTCATACAAATAATTAAAAATACAGTTTAATCTGTGTAACTTGTATGTTTACCTTTCAATTCAGCTATTGGTTTATTAATTTTACTTTTTTTAAGATCAAGATAATGTCATATATTACAATATATAATACGATGATCACAAATTTGTGACCATCAAAGATTTAGAAGAGACTTGCTCATCTAATTGATACTAATTCACTTAACAATCATCATCTTTACGATCTCTCTCTCTCTCTTTCTCGAACTCTATCACTTTCTCTTCATATTTATTAATTTATCTAAGTTCATTATCGAAAATCAACAAATTATATGATCAGTCATCATCAGATTAACAGTCAACCGACGCTGGTGTCTAGTCTTTGCTACTCTGTGGCCACTTAGAGGCTAATTCTTAGAGCGCGACAAAGTTAATTGGCGACGTTAACATGGCGATGATTACGATAATCACCATTAAGGGATTTTACTAATCCGCTCTCTCTCTCTCTCTCTCTCTCTCTCTCTCTCTCTCTCTCTCTTCTCGAGCTCTATCACTTTCTCTTCATATTTATTAATTTATCTAAGTTCATTATCGAAAATCAACAAATTATATGATCAGTCATCATCAGATTAACAGTCAACCGACGCTGGTGTCTAGTCTTTGCTACTCTGTGGCCACTTAGAGGCTAATTCTTAGAGCGCGACAAAGTTAATTGGCGACGTTAACATGGCGATGATTACGATAATCACCATTAAGGGATTTTACTAATCCGCTCTCTCTCTCTCTCTTTCTTTCTTTCTTTCTTTCTTTCTTTTGTGATCAATTGGTCTCAAACTCAATTTGAACCAAAATCTCACCACGAATAATAAAAGTTACGATGTAAACTTAATTACTTTTATATCTTGATCATGATTTAGATGTTTTGAATTGTTTTAATTAAGTAACAACAAATAATCGTTTTTATTAAACGAGAATAAATAATCAACTAAATTAAGGAGATGACTAGTTGCTTGGAATGGTGTTAATTGCAAGTTCACTTAAAGTAGCCAAAGGCACTTGAGATCCACGACGAAGATCAATGTCCGAAGCGTTAATTTCCTGACAATTAAGAGAGAGAAAAAATATAAAAAAATCATCAATAATAATGATACACAATCAATTGTAAAAACATACAGAAAGAAACATTTGATTATCAACATCAGGCTCCCAATTTAATTCTTGCGAACTGGTAATTAGTTTGTGTTGATTAGATGGCCAATTGTTGTTATTTAATTGTTTCAATGGACTTTCAGGTGAATCTATTAAATCTGTGAATTAAATTTGAACAAAATGTCGATGAAGATGAAGATAATTTCATTGATTTGTGATGATTTGTTTTCGCAGTGATTTTGTTTAATTGTGTTTAATATATTGGAGAGAAAGAAAAAGACATCAGCAATTAAGTGAGACAATTAACTGATTCACTTTGGACCAAAAAGCGAACCAAAAGAAAGGGAATAAAAAAAAGGACGACGAACTTAATCTTCAAGTCTGGAATAAGTACCCTTGTTATCGGTCATATTTGACGATCTTTCCGTTGGACATTGGTCATCGGGATCGTATTCCTCTTGTGTCTCATGTAAGGGATGTAATTCAGTCATTTTTGATCGACCATCGGTTGATTTATACGAAATCAATCGAGCCTCAGGTGACCTTTTCTCGAACCCTTGGTAAACACGAGTGTAAGCTGATAGAAAGAAGAAAAAAACGAAACAAAGATCGAATTGAGTAAACGAAACAATCAACTCTCGATTTGTTGAACAGTTCAAATCTTACGAATCGTTGGTGATCCCTTTCGTTGAGCATTGAAAAATGGGGTCTCCCCTTTGAATTTTTTACTCTTGTGAGCGCTTTGAATTTTACACATGTAAATAACGATCGCGGTCACGACGATGGTCAAGAAGCTAAGACAGCCCACGAATACATAAAATTCAGTAGTATAGAGATCGATTGGACTTTTTCGTTGTTTATTTTTTGGTATATTATGTTTGCTTGGTTCTTTTGGTGACCATTGAACTTCGGGCAGCTAAAAGTTAGAATGGAGAAACAGACAATTAGTATTAATTAGTAACAATTAGTATGTAAATTTACCTCATAGGGAATGTTAATTGTATTCGAAATTGATTTGGAAATAGTTTTAAATCGTGAGCATCGTTGTTGTTTAATTCCTTGCCAAATGTGACTTCCATTCTGCATTACATCAACTCGATCATCACCTTCAAACGCTGATTCGATTGGACTTATGATCGTATTTAAATTGGGTCCACCTCTGATTCTTAAATCTGACACAAAACAAGGGTAAAAAAGAAATAGAACAATTAATGACAAGTTCGAAAGTTATTGAAAAAGTTTTTCGAATTGAAAACATACTTGATACACAACCAATGTAAGTATTATATTCATTCAAATATTCATCAGAATCCAAATTTCCTCCGACCTTAATTACTTGACGTGGCTTTAAGACTCCAATGTTTGGTATTGATTGTCTGAAAGTGACCTCATAAGGTACACTGTCAATCTATGACGAAGGAAAATGTTGAAAATTAGATCAATTTTCACAATTAATTTGATTCGACTAATTGTTCTAACCTCAAGTTTAACCTGATCACCGGTACGATTATAAACAACCCAATGTCTAAAACCATCAGCGTAATGATGTTGTTGCCTTAAGATTGTTTTACGCCAAGCTGAATGTTAATGATTAGCAAATTGAGAACAATTTAAGGTTGATTGACAATTAGAATGACAATTTATATAGAATTTACCTTTATTGTATCCATCAAATTCTTGCAGGTAAATTCCTCCTGACGAATGTAATCCAACCATTAGAGACCATTCATCTTTCTGAAAGAGTAACAGTAAACGACGGATTTGACTGAAAAACGGATAAGCTTCCGACTCAGCTGAGAATGCGAATTCTAATTGGATTCCTTGTTCCGGTTTAATATCGACTGTGGTCATATTGTAGATCAGAACTGATGAACCATCGAATCTCACCCCAATATCTTGGTCACAATAATTTCCTTGGTAAGATGTTGCCTCGCAATGACATTCGACACCTTCAATTGAACCAATTCTCATATTTTCACGACATTTTCCGCCATTTTCACAAGGTTTAGAATCACAGATTCGCTGACAGCCCGATGTAACATTACCATTGATGTTAACATGTTGAGACTCAATCGATTGGACAATAGTTTGTTCAAGATCAAAGGGTTGAGAGCCAATGATCAAACCCGATATACAGCCGATAAAAGTTGTCAGGGAATGTTCAACAATCGGATCAACTCCACCAATGAAAAACTGTGTATGTGGAGGTAGAGCGATAAATGATCTGATCGGCCTAACCAACTCCATAGATCCACCATAAAGCCAAGGTTTTTGATTGTATTCCTTTAATAGTCCCAGAGTAGTGTTAATACCGACCGACAATGGAGCTGAACAATTCCGTTCACATCCAGTGTAAACCGAGAGAGTTGTAAAATTGGGCTGTCGATCAACAACTAATTGAATCAGATTTCCCGATATTAACTCAGGTCCAACACGAACCCGTCCAGAAACAATGGTACGATGATTATTGGCCGTAAAAATGACGCTCTTATTGAAAAGGTGGAGTTGAATGAAATTATTCAGATGATCATTAGCATATAAGATTAATCCTGAACCTTCATACGTCCTGAAACTCAGAGAGATTTGCTTATTTAACACTGGATGGGTGAAATTACCGTTAACCAGTAAATGGATGAAAGCATTATCCGAGGAGAGAGTTAATCCCTTAAGATTAGCATCATGTTGACAATTACGACCTGAATGGGCTATCGGATTAGCACATCGACACTCATAGTTACCCCACATTTCAATACAATGACCATTGTTTTGACATGGATTAGGTTGACATGATTCTTGGCATCGAGGTTGAATATCAGTTACCCTGAAAAAAAGATGAAAGAAAAAGATAAAATCAATCTAACAACAAGTAAAATGGATAAACAATCAGCTAATCAACTAATTACTACCTTTCGGGAATCGATAAAGGTATAATACGATCAGCAATTAACAAACCACGAAAACATCCAATGAAACCTTCCTTTGATTTTGTCTTCAACTTTAATCTGAATTGATGATAACAATCATAATTAAATTACTCAATTTAGACTAATCTAAGTACAATTAAGTTTGATGAATGTAATTAACTTACTCTGGAGCTCCACCAATGTACAAAGGTCCCTCGAAAAGGTCAAACATTTCATTACGATCTAAATCAATCATCAATGAGTCCAAATTAACGGTAAATCTCATATGTCTTGTTTCATAATCAACCCAAACTTGTTGCCATTGACCAGAATTTAATTTACTTCGAGAGATTAACTTTGATTGTTTAGGAACACCGTTAACTGAATAATCAAATAACAATTCAAATGGACTGATCAAAGTGACCAGGAAATAACCATGATGAGGAAACAGCGGAGCCTGATAAAGGATAATCCCTGAGGCGATCGTCGTCCTAAAGCTAAAGGCTAAATCGCCAGAGACCCAACCATCAAGTTCAAGGTACGATTGTTGTGTTTTAAATGTAACAATATGCTCCTGAGTACCTGCGAGTTAAATTGTTTAAAAATTTTAATAATTACAAGATAATTAGTTAACCATCAGATCGGTAATTAACTCTCATGGTCTTTACAATTAACTCGACATGCATCTCATTTTGTTAACCAACAAATGAAAAAAAAAGTCTCATCATCATCATCATTTATTTGCTTAATCATGTTTAATTAGTAAGAGACTAATTAATCAGTTAATGATGATAATCATTAAATTGATTGATAACTTCAAGTGTGATTGATTGTGTGTTGAAAAATAAAACCTCTCACACTCTTGATCAATCAATACAATCACAATAATCAATGAGCAAATGTAAATCTTAAATTGTGTTGACATTAAATTGATCAATAATTAGTCAACTAATTAGTTAATAAATCGGTTAACAATCAACCCTGATAAATTGATATTCAAATCAATATCATAGATACATTTTCTAGGTGAATCTAAATGATACTAATTGTTAATTGTTCCAGATAATTAAAAGTCTTTCACTTGACATATTCATTTACTTACTTAAATCAATACATTTCAATGGTGATAAAGTGAATCGACCCTCCGATGAATCAGTTAAATTAATTGTTGACGTGAAAAATACCCGAGTAATTGCTAATTTAGATGGTTCCATGATTACTCCTGAATCCTCATTTTCCCGTTCATCAAGTGAATCGCAATTACATGGAGATGACCGATTCGAACAGGTCATTCCCGTTGAACACGAGCAATGGCCACTAATTGTACTTCCCAATGAATCAACTCGACGGTCACTTGCAGAGATCATCCAAGTTTCTTTAGCTAAACTACAATTATAACAAAAGAATATCAAAGAAAATTAATAACAATCAGTTGGAACAATTAACTCTAATCATCATCATACTTGAACGGTGCCTTCTTGCAGCCATATTTAATTTCCTGATTACAACCCTTGGTGTGGCTAATTAAGGCTTTCAGCATTTCTTTATTGAATTCCCGATAATCAATATCAATATAATAAGATGGAAAATCTTTACGACGAACAATCTGAAAGAAGAAAAAAATTCAAATTATCAATAGAAAATTCATTCAACTGGATTAACCTAATCAACAATCAACACGAGAAAAACGTATGAGTAGATGATTTGATTATCTTGCACAAATAGTGAGCTTTTAAATTGTTAAACAACAGCAACAACAACAATTAACCACAAATGATTACCTTTCAATTGAGATTGATGTTCACCTTGATTGTAATCATATGAATTAATTTAAATTTAAAAGCCTCCGGAGTTTTTATTAATCATCACTAATCATTATGCTTCTGAAGTATCAAACTTTAATTGTTATAACCATTAAAGTAGACCAATGAAAAATACAATTAACTTTCAACTTGAACAATTAAGGCTTGGAATAGATCATTGATTGTTACAGAGAAATAACAACAATTAATTGCGATTAGAATTATGATTTAACCTTAAATTATGAGCGAGAAAAAATTTCCAACTAGATTAACTTTTTTTTCTTCATTTTTTTTCTCACTTTTAACCTTAATCTTTAATCTAATCTGTAGCATTTAAGGAGTGACCTAAGGTGGACTTACCTGTATCTCACCTTGAATTTAAAAGTAGAAGAAGAAAAGTTTTCTAATATAAGGAGTGGTTCATATGGATTCTATTTTTGTAGCGAAAAGAAAATTCAAAAATTTGATTATCATTGGATTCTAAAGGCCTACGCACTCGCATCTCTATTTGATTGTGGTTCTTAATCATAACAATAATGAAAGCTAATCAAGAGACACAATTAAGAAATAATTGATTTCATTATATGGTAAAAGTCTATTAGCAATTAATTGTTTGCCTTTCAGCATTTCAAATGGTATCGGAAATGTTTGGATGTTTGTACCGATCATGTGGTAGAAAGTTGATTCCATTGATTGTTTTCGAGAATCGATTGACTTAGATTTTGATTAGAATCAGATTACTTACATATTCGACCGGTAAATTGTGAATTACCGTTGTCTCGGTTCGTTTGAGTGACATTGTACATTCGACTCGAGCGGGTGGTAATGGTCCATTTCGATCGATATCAATCATGTAGGTTCCATTTTTACGATGACCAATTAGATAATATTCTTCACATGTTCGTTTGTATAAAGCTGTAAATAGAATAATAATAAATTTCGAACTTGAAATTATTGTTAGAACTTTTCGTTTTCTTCATCAATTACCGAAGTGACATGTTTTCCCCGCGTAACCAGTTTCCGTGCAATCGCAATCGGCATCACCCTCTTTGTTAACGGTACATTTACCACCATGTTCACAGGCTCCAGGATAATCGCATGCATTTATGTATGAACATTGATCTAAGGCCACTCGACCTGAATGAAGTTGCCGATTGTTTAATAATATCCTCGAATCAACCGTCTGATGGTCAACACCTAAGTTACGAATACAGCCCATTATCCCGTAGCCAAAGGCTTTTGAATTGTTGAAAGTCGCATTCAAGGCACCGACAATTATGTGACCATTGAAGGACATTTCACCTTCGAACTGATATTTAACCGAGTAAACATTGTTCACTTCGATGGTTAAATTTGAACTTTGTCCATAAAGTCCAATCATTTGCCACTGGTCAGTTAGAAAACGAACTGGTTTACCTGATGACCATGTTCTTGAGATGGGCTCAACTTCAGCGTAATTATCGTCGAGAATTGAAAATTGTGGAATCGAGTCTTTCAAATGAAGAATCCAAAGAAATTGGACTGAAGGTTCGTCGACGAATCTAAATCCACCCGATGAAAGGATAACATCTCGTTGGGGTGTTTTAAACTCGAGGAAAAGGTCAAGAATATTTGAGAATCTTTTGGTTACATTAAGATAAGAACGTGAAGTTTGAAAAGTTATCGGTAAACTTTGAACAACAGCCGAACCATATTCTGGACCAAAAAGTCCAGTATAACGGATATTATGTCGACCTTTTTTCAAGCCAAATAAAATATTCTCTTGGTTAAAGTAGACCGATTTTAGGGAACCAATGAATTTAGATCGAACCAAACTGGCCGGATAAAGTGACCTCACCTCGATTGACTTTGGTAAACCAGCAACGTAAATATAAGGTTCAAGGTGAAGATAATATCGTTGACCTGAGACTCGAAGCCGATGGACAACACCGTCAACATAAATGTCAACATCTCTTTTAACATGGATAACGGTAACATTGTGCCATTCCCCGTCGGAAAGTTTTTCCCCACCAGAAGTGGTCAATCTTAACGGACCTTCACCAAAATCAATCTCAAACCTTAACTGACCATTGATAAGGTCAAGGAAAACATGATTGAAATCGGGATAAAGTCCATAAGCATAAAGAAGCATTGAATTTTCAAATCGACTTTGAAAATGTAAACTAATCCGATTCATTAAAGTTTCCGTTCTTTCAGTCCAATTGAAAGCGGTATATGTGATGAACGAGGTACCACGAAAGGTCAACGAAGTGACCGGTGTAATGGTGCACCATTTATCCTCATATTCGGTACCAAAACAGTCACAAGAAGAGTGAGTATAATGGTTAACACAAACTGACCCCATTGAGCATAGGTCATTTGTCCGACATAAATTATTACATCCAACCTTTAATCCGACCGTTGTTATCGGCGGTATATCAACAAACAAAATGGACGAATGGGTAAACTGAATTGACCCAAGGCAACCAATAAATCGCGGGGAATTATGGTGCTTATGGACATAACGACGGGAAAGGTCAAGCCCACCAAAGTAAAGGGTTGATGGGATATTACCGATCGCACTTGGTTGACTTGGATTATATTCACCGTAAGGTTGATAACCTTTTGGATAAAGTGAACCAAATGAGGTCAGAACAAAAATCGAACCTATTTGACCATCGACGATGACCTTTAATTTATTTTCCGAGGTGTTAATTGTTAAATTAACGTAGTGCCAAAGGTCATCATTAAAACCTTTACCAATTGTAAATCTATCCAAGGATAATCCAAATTCATGGATTATCTCAATTGCTCCTTTACTTAGGATTATATGAAATTCATATAAAGGATAACCAACTGGTCCAGAGTTAATTGTGTGAAATAATAATAAACCATTTGAACGATCAGTTCTGTTAATTGCAACAATTAAAGAGAGAAAAATAAATTTCAATCAAAAATCGTAATCAAATCAGCGAAATCAATTCATTCATGATCATTTAAGATAATCAAGTTTCGTTATCAAAGTTAACAGCAAATAATTAAGTAATTAAACAACAATTAACTGTTATCATTTAAAGATCTCTAATTATCATTACAATTAATAATATCAATAGTTAATTAGTTTGAATGAGACAAAGTTTCTTAATCATTTATTATGAAAACCACAACAATCAAAACAGGAAACAAGTTAATTGTTGACTTAACCCTGAGCTAAGGTGTAATTGCAATTATATTATTAATCTTAATTGTTCAACAACCACCAACACAAAAATTAAATTGTCTTCCAATAAACTTGATTGTTGTAATTTATAAATATAAATTGTATTTGTATATTAATATTATTATTACAATGGTTAAAGGAGAGACCAGAATTAAATTGTTGACTGGAACTGAATTGTAATTTAAATTCATCATCACGATTAATCATTTTTTACCTCAACAATTAAATTTGATTATCATCAACCTCTCTCACTCTAACTATTACTCTCGTGGTTATAATTGTTATTAGTTAATTATTTATGGTCTCTTTTTAGTCCTAACAATTTATCATTGATCATAATGAATAAAGATACACTTGAGACTAATTGTAATTGATTAGAAACACTTGACAATTAATAGTTGGTTAGCTAAGAGTTGAGAGTTGATTGTGATCATAAAAAACTAATCATAAACAATCAGTAAACAATTATCATAGGTAAAGGAACCACCAAAAATTGTTATTGATTAGTTTACTTTCTTGTATTATTAATTGTTTGGGTTAATTGTGTTTAATCAATGTTCATGGTAACACCTTGATAACAATCAACACAATTTAATCATCGTTGAGCTTTTTTTTTATGATTAGTCTTCATCTTAATGAAACTTTGCTGATAATTTACTTGATTATATTTGTTGCTTGATTAACATAGACTCACAATTTAATGGTAAACAATCAATTAATTGTAGACAAGGTTAATTTGATGAAAAAACTAAATCTCCTGGCAACTAATAATAATAAATATCAAGTTAATCACATACAATTCAATGTGACAATTAACAGTAACATTGAAACAATATTTGGTTTCATATCTGATTCAATCAAATTAACTGATTTTCCAATAAATTGAAATGTTAAAATGATCTAAATTGTGAACAATTAACTTACTTGAACTTAAAATTAAGAGATCGGGTTATATGAGGAGGCCAACAATCAGTTGAATTAATTTGAAGAAATGAATCATTTTGTGAATAAGTAAAAACCTTTGGATCTAAATGATCAGCAATTAACGATTGTGATGATGATGATGATTTTGGTGATGGTGTTGATGGAGTTGATGGTAATGGTGATGGAGATGAAATTAATCCTTTGACATGATTGTGATCATGATCATCATGGTGATGATTACCATGATTATAAACTGATTGGATACAATTAAATAGGATAATCAGGTCACAAAATATAAACAAAGTTTTCATGTTAACAGTTAACAGAATCATTGATTGACAATAATGACAAGAGAGAGAAAGAGAGAGAAAAGTTAATTCATATTAACATTTACATAATAATTAAAGGAGAAAGAGAGAGTTGCAAAGAGATGAACAATTAGTTTCAATAATTTAACGAAAGGTAATCAATTAAATGAGATAATTAACTTAATTGGTATGAAGAGACAGAGAGAGAAAAAAAATCTTGATACAATTTGTGTGGATCGCAATTAGAGACAAATCTTATAATAGTTACATATTTGATCTTGTTGATAATCAAACTATGTCGTTGTTGTTGTTAAAGTTTATGATCAACAATCATCACAATAATAATAGTAATTATCATCATCATCATCATCATTGTAGGTATAAGAAACTATTAAATGGTAACTGTTAGTGTAATTTAAGTTACAACAGGTAAAGCAACTGAAACATTATGTTACCTGAGAGTAACTAATAAACACTTTACATTGAAAGAAAGTTGAAGATGAGGATGATGAGAGAGTAGGCGAGAGAGAGAGTGAGAGAGGGAAGGGGCTTGGAGTATAATGATGATAAAGATGAAGGGAGAAGACAAAATAAAAGATACTTGGGATATCTTAAGTTTTTCTCTTCTCTCTTTCATCATTCAAAGGGAGAACAATTTTTATCATCATATTTGTGGGATGAAGATGATTCTTTAACCTAGACACAAAGAGAGATGATCAACCTTTATGTTGGTTTCAATTTCTCTTTGTTTATCCTTGGCTTTATCATCACAATGATCCATATGATGTTCAAAAGGTAAAATCAGGTTAATTAATTAATAGTAAGTATCATTAGTTTGATAGGTACTTTTGGAAATCCTCATGTAGGCGTAGTGAGAGAGAGAGAGAGAGGGTAAGCTGGTTTTCCACTTGTTGATTGTTTGTTGTTGGTTAAATTGTGATTATAATTAGAATTATTTGTTGACCCTTTTCCTTTCCAATTTGTTGCTGTTTGTATTATCACCATTTCTTTGTTCCTGTTGATTGTTGATCCTCTTTTTCTTCACTTGGTTAACATTGATTTTCTTTCATCGGCCATTTTGTTGTCCATCCATTTTGCTTTTCTTTGGAAATTGTTTTTCTTTTCTCCAATTAGGTTTACTCTTTTATACCAATGGAAGTTAAATCATCATTATCGTCCATTTTCTTTTAATAATTTTCTTTTCATCTGATTGAGACAAAGATGGAGAAATCAGATTATTGAGAAACATTTTTCTTCTCTCTCTCTCTCTTTGCTTTTCCAAATCAGCTCCACCCAAAAACCATGGAGAGTGAAAGATGATGATGGTGATAAAGTTAATGATGATTACGGTTGATGAGAGAATCCAAAACTTGTAACACTTGAATATTCCATCTTTTCCATTTATCTTTACCTGGTAAGACAAATTTACATTTGTGTCTTGGGTTTAATTGTGATTCAACTAAAAGGTAAAACAATTTACCTTTTCTCGTTTTCATCTTCATCTCTCTGTTTGAAATGATTAATCATTTTCATCTTATACTTCAACATATCAGGGAATTTATTCTCGACCGTTAAGTTAATCAGCTCTGGAAAGTAATTCAGGACTGATCAAAAAGAGATATCAACCAAAATCTAAATTGCTAATCATCTTTTAATTACCAACAACAAGAGTCAAAATCAACAATCAAAACAAAAAATTCAAATCGAGCAACTTGATATTAGTAACATTGAAACTCGAAAGATGGAGCCACTAAAAGGCGCTTTTTTCAAATAGAATTTTTTTTCTCCTTCAAATCAAAAAAGTTTAATAAACTGAATTAACTGATTATCAACTCATTTTAATTCCAATTTAAAAGAAAGATTACAATTAAATGATAATAGAAGTTTTAAAATAATATTCAGATGTGAATTAGAACTTGAAAGTTTAGTGATGATTGAATTTTCCCTCATTTGAGTTGTTGATTGAACTTAACAAATATTGAAATGTAACTTTTTCCAATCGAAGCAATTAAAGTTAATTGTTGACTTGATTGTTAGATGTTGGTGTTCAATCAAATCACCATGAAGGATAATCATTCTCAAGTAATTTCCTACGATCGTCTTCATTAGCATTTACTTTCAACCGATCACCCGATTCCTAAGGAAAAACAATTGGAAAGATTGTAATAGTTTTTTTCTCAACTAAATCAAATTTAATTGTTACAACAATTAAAACTTACCCGTTGGGCTGTCGAGGAAAGTGATTGGCACAATAATCCACTTCGTTTACCACCGGGTTTCCAGTCTTTGGTAAATGTTACCTGAGAGTAGATCAGGTTAACCAATAAACTCATGATAACAAGAAAACTGATTAACTTCATGATCTGAAACAACAATTAAGATGAAACTTTTAATCACAATTAGAGGAATTAGACTAAAACAACTTGAACAAGAATCAACTGATCACTGAAACAATTTACTAATACAACTCAATCATTTATATACTCGTTCAAAAATCCCAAAGGATTTTAATCAAATGTTAATTTTGTAAATTCAGTTAATCAACAAGTTTGTTTTTCACTCTTAATTATGATTAAAAAATTGTCTCTTGCTTCAGATGATTTAGTTAATTAATCTAATCTAATTTTCTAACACACCAAGTTTAACAATTGGAAACTCAACTAACTCAGTAATTAACTTTTCCTGCTTACAAATCAATTGATTAATTTGAATATCATCGATTTCAGTAATTAACAAATTCCCTAATTATGAACAATATTAATTTGATTTCTTTTCATTATAATTATTGGATTAGATTTTCTCGATTTGTGGTTCAGTAATTAAGTTAATTTAGTTTAGATTATTCTTTCAATCTAATTCTAAATTAATTGCTACAACTTATGGATGATTAAATTTTCTTATTACATTTTTGATCCTCAATCACAATCAACTTACTAATTAGTTAATTCTAACAATTCTAACATTAAGTCTAACAATTAATTGACAAAAATTGATTGTGAAAAAGTAATTATGAATCTCAATTGACGAAACAATTAATTTTTTTCTCAATAATTTAATTGATTGTCTTTTGAAACAATAGTTTACATTTATATTGAAATACCATTGGACTTGGAAATAACACTGAATTGGTAGCTTATTGGTAGCTTTACAATACACTGCCAATAAGCTACCATTGGACTTATGTAATGAAATATTAACGTAATGAAACCGATAACGAATCAAGTATCTGTATGATATAATCATGACTATAATCGTATATTGCTCACTTACTCACAAATATTAGTCACGTTAATAATGCCCAAATTGAAAGAGTTATATTCAAAAAGTTTCAACATGACCAGCAGAACGTTTTGCTAAAGCTGTCAAGAAGCTGTCATATATAATTGTGGCTAATGTCTGTCTAGTATTACACATTTCCAAAGATTATTCATGATTATATTATAAAGATACTTGATTCGTTATCGGTTTGAAAAACACTAACAATACAACAAACTACTATAGCTGCAAGTATACACAGAGTATCATACTGATACTCGACTTTTAATACTGTGTCAAAGTGTAACTATACATATTTATATGATGCACAACTAGTGTATCAGAGGTTATAAAAGAATATCCCCTGCACTAGAAATCTCATGATAGTTGATGTACATACAAGTATCTTATTGTTATCACGTGTTAGAATACAAAACGATGATACATGTAGACTGAATAATAGTAATTTATATGATGCACAATAATCACATCATCATTAGCTTTTCACATCTTGTAAAACTTGAACAACACATAAGGTTGTTGTGTAGTGAACTGGTAGCTAAATGAGAAGTTACCAATTCACTGCTGATGGACTAAATGATAGATTCAGACTTTCGGTTATGTTGCAACATTATTTGTGCATCAATAAGTATGATTAGAGTTACTTTAATTTGATGTTGCATTTGAATTACTTGTTGTTGAGTCAATATCTTTGTTTTTCCGACAACATTGATCCCAAATTGAACCAGATTTCACCATTCCTTCGCTTCCGTCTGACCACCTCCCTCTCTATGCTACTTTTACCATCGCCCAGACAAGAAGAAAATTAGCCAGATCATATGAGCGAAAAAACGTCAGGAAGGAGCCTTATTTGATGCACGAGTGGTTTCTGCAAAAACTTACATCGCCGAAAATTTGTACAATTAAATTTTATGCCTCTGAACTATTAAGTTGAATAAATTTGATTTTGTTAACTAAGCACAGGTAAAGTAATCAAAATTTAATTCGGTTCGCAATTGTTGTAGAAAATTGTTTTCATCACAATTAATCCTTACGAATCACCTTAGGTTTGCAATTAGATTAATTCACATATTAGATTTTCTTCATTGTAATTACAACAATTTGATACGTTGGCAAATGATTTATTATCACAATTGATTTTGTTGTTTAAGAAAGAGTAGTTTTGCCATTCGTTTGAAAGTAATCGAGACAATTAACTAATTGCTGACAGGGTAATCACCTTTTAACCTAAATTGTCGGTCAGTTATCATAACCAATAAGCTACCATTTGACTTTGACGTGTTAATGACTGAAAAGTAATGCAAAGCTTGTTTCTTTTACTTCTTTTTTAAGTCCTTTGGATGTGATATGGCACAGTGTTTTTTAAGCTTCTATAGTGCTGATATTCAATTAACTTCTTGTCGTGATTTTTGGAATCAATTTCAATTCTGACATTATTTGTAATGTAAAATCAATTTCAGAAAGAGAAATCAAAGGATAAGAAATCCTTTTTCTCTCCCCTTTCTTTCATTTTTTCTCTTTCATTTTCTCTTACTTTTCTCACTTTTTTGAATTTAATTTGTGACTGATTGTTATCAATCATTTATTGGTATTTTTGCTGTTGATCAACCACAACAACAACAGGTTAACAAATATTAATTTTGTTAATCAACATCAATTGTTGATGATGATTTGATTGTTGATGACAATCAACAACAACAACAACGTCAGTTGATTACTAGCTGATGATGGTGATTGTTAATTAATCAATTTCTTTTCAGCATCAATTGGTTATTATTTCCAAGGAAGTGATTAACTGGAATTCATATTAAGTGATAATTTCTGATTCGAATTATTTCAGTCAAATTTCTGGCTGAAGATCATATTTTATATATTTTTAGCAGTTCGCGCGTTTTTGATTAATTCTGAAAAATTTAAAAGAACCGGGCTCTAGAAATTGCCATATTCTCGATAAATTTAACGACCAATGTATTGGTAATCCATTTGTTTAGATTTAAAATTCATGCAATGAAATTTTCAAATTGTGTTTTTTTGCCTTCTCGCCGACAACGATAAGTGTTTGTATTATCATGTTTTCTGGAAGTGACATCATAACGGATCATCGAATTGTGGCACAAGAGCTGAAAAGTCTTTCTGCTATGATACCCGATTATCAAAGTAAGGAGATCAGTACTTTCTATATCCTAATTACATTCAACTTAATTTCATGGACAAAAAATATCAACAACAATGCACTGGAATTGTTAATCGTTTTTTCCCTAATTGGGGTGCAACATCGTTGAAGATGACAAAAGCGAAGATTTCATTACCCAATTGCTAAAAGCAATCGTTTTCGAGAACCTATTGAAAAAAAACCCAAGGCTATTCATTTCATCGTTGCGAAAATACCAAAATTACATAAAAATTATATTGTTTATCGATGGAAAGAACCGAAAAAACTGCATAATAATGGAGGTTTCGTGTATGTTTGTGAAAAAATTTGTAAATTTAGAGATGAAATCGAGACTCGTTGAAATAATGTTGCAACATCACCGAAAGTCTGAATCTATCATTTAGTCCATCAGCAGTGAATCGGTAACTTCTCATTTAGCTACCAGTTCACTACACAACATTGTAATTAAGCAAATGATATGACATGGATTCCAAAGTGGTTAATTGAATCAACCTTTAATTATCTTAATTGTTGAAAATGAAATGAAAAATTATAAGAACCAAAATCTAATCCATTTACTGATCAACAATTAGATTAATTTTCAGCTTGATTATTGAATTAAAATTTACATATAATTAGATTATCAAAGGTGAAACTGTACATTAATTTACAATTTAAAATTGATATTTACAATTGATAATTAGTTAATTGTGCCGAAATTATAGACAATAATCAATATAAAAACAGAAAAGATATTGGTCAAGTTTAGATATTTACATTATTAATATTGCAATTACAATTAAGATTTACAATCAATGAAAATTGAAAGGCAAATTTAGGTGAAGGCAAAAATTAATCATAATTATTAAATTTTGTTGATTTAATTTAAGCGTAAACATGATCATCGTTAATTGTATCCAAATGAGATAACGTTGATTGACCAGTAGAACCATCAATTGAATAATATAATTGATATTGTTGATTGGAGTTAATTATCATCGGTTGATCAATTGATCGTCGTCCATTATAACCAACATGGTGTCCAGAATGATTATAATCACAAGGAATTGGTGTTGGTTGTTTTTTGTTGACGATCGAAGGTAATTGTCAGAATGATGTGGAATCAATTTTACGACGATATTTAACCAACAATCGACGGGTAATTGTAATTATAAGAAGAAGAAGGATGATTAGAATTAGTAATAATATTCCAATTAGAAGGAAACGATTTGATACCAGTGAATGAAGAAGCGATGGTTTCGAGCAAAGTTCTTCCGATTCATCTTCCGATATCGAACTGTCCAAAGTGTTTAACGATTTAATTGGACAATTGGGGAAACCGTTACAAACCAGTGATGATTTAAGACAAGATCGTGATGATTTACAAAAGAAATCACAATCAGCTGAAAGGGAGACCAATAGCTCAGTTGTATCAACGGCATCAGGTAACATTTTCAATTGTGTCCAATACAATTGGAAAGATGTCACCTCAGGTACATTGGAACTCAGGTAAATATCGACAATTTTATCAATTGGTTTATCGGTGATCACTTGATCACCGGTAATCGGATAACCATTGATATAACTTGGAATCTCATCTCGTCTCATAATTATACTATTTGGATGACCATTAACTGGATTGGATATTAATTGTTGACCATCAGAACCACTTGAATGATGATGATGCTGATGAGAGTGATGAACATGATGATTATGATATGATGATGATGGTGATGATGATAAACCTTTTGATGATTTATACTCCGATTGAATTGGTTGATTGTAACCACAAAAGGGAACATCTTTGATCAATAGGAAATTGTTTGAACAATCGGGCGGAAGAGCCAAATTTTTAACGTTAAAGGTCAGGTCAACGTCGTGCATCACATGGATCCGCCATTTGCAAAACAAAGGCCATTCCGGCGATACCCAGGATTGTTCATCATGCGATTGGGATACAATTGGTACCGACGAGGAGGCCAAAGGTGATCCAAATGGCCCCAAAGAGGACTGATTGACCATTGGCCTTTTATTTACAGTTGTCATCTTATTGGTCATCGCTACTGTCCGAACCATGGGCGAAACTGACTGCCGTGATTTGGACTTTTGAAAAGGAAACAAAATACTTCCTTGTAGCTGTGATGGATAAGTGATAATCTCCTCAGGTCCACATCGCGATTCCCTCACGAAGCGAAAATTGATCTAAAATTTGATCGAAACAAAAAGAACCCAAATTAATTGAAATGTTCACAATTAGCGAATATTTTCCCGACTCAGAAAACACAGAACAACAATGAAGAAAAATAAGAATATGTATTGATAAAAACTCTCTCTAGATGCTGCGAGATTTTAATAACTTTGCTCATTAGAATTGTGGTTAAACACGCACAAAGAAATTTAATCATATTCTTTTATGTATTTATCTTCATCATCGACAATTAATCTATTGATTTCGTGTGATCATTTGGAAATTTAATTATCTAACCAAAGTAATAAGCAATTGGATGGAGGGATAATAATATTGATTCATGTTGAAGAAAATGCGAAGAAAAAAAAATCAATAACAATCTTTGGAGTAACAATAAGTAAAGTGTATCAATAGACAATTAAAAGAAGGATAAATAGAGATGATGAAACCAGGGGGAAATTGTATATTCTCATGCTGAGATAATTGAAAGAGATAGTTACTGAATCCATTGAAATGTGAAATTAAAGTGAGAGAGAGAAAAAAGTTCTGAAGAAAAAAAAATAACAACAAATTGACATGAACAATATTGAGAAAATTGTTCAAATGATAACAATCAGTTGGACGATTGTTATTATTGATAATATAACCGTTATTTTCATTGATAATTATGGAGGAAAATGATGAAAATATAACAGTAATTAACCTGGGAATTAAAGTTAATCAATTTTAATCTTAGATTGACATTGAACAGAAAATCTTATTGATTCGTTTTACTGTTAATATTATTTTCTTTCTCTTCGATTCTTCATGATGATGATGATGATCTTTGCGTGTTATTTAATCAAAAGACTTTTACGATCTTTGGTTACATGTAGAACTCAAATTCCAAATAATAATTTGATCTCATGAATGGATATGGATAAAAAAGTTCTAAGTGAATTCGTAACCAAGAAGCAACTATTCTGATGGTGATGAACAACTTGGTGAAAAAGAGGACATGATATGAGAGATATCGTGATAATCAATGGTTAAGATGAAGATTGCAATGTGAGCCTGATGATGATCATCATGATGAGGATAAAAGATTCAGGAATCAGAGGAATAGTTTTGACAAACAGAAAAAGAGAGAGAGAGAGAGAATTGTCTTTAAAACTAATTGAAATTCTGATAATGTTTTGTTATCCAGTTAAGTTTTTATTTCTTTGTCGAAAATGAAAGTTCAATTTAAAGACGAAGCCAAAAGTAGAGAGAGAAAGAGATGATTAGGATGACAAGGAAGAGAAAATCATCAACATATGATTCAAGTTCGATCTTGTGATGAAATGTTCATCTCTATTCTTTTTTCCACAAAGAAATTTATTCTTCTTTTCTTCGCAATAGAACAAATCATCTCGACGAATTTTCGACAAGTTATCATTATTCTTATAACGAATTCGAAGGTTGGAAAAATAAGAAAAAAAAAGAGAGAGAAAAAAACATTAATCCAACAATTTAAAGTTCTAAATTATCACAATCAAAATGTCACATTAATCAGCGAACAACAATTTAACTTCATGATAACCTTATGTTTCTATCATACAATTAATCAGACTAATTGAAAATGACCTCAGGCTATTTCCGAATTTTTCATTTTCAATCAACAATTTAAACTAATAATTATTTCTCGATCCTTAATAGTTATTAAGTTAATTGTAAATTTCTCTCATTTATTACATTAGATTTTTTCTGTTCGTATCATTACAATTAATCTAATTGTACTTTTTTTCAACTTGGACTTGAGGCTATTAACTGGACATTGAAGACTCGAGGTGTAGTAGTAGTAGGAGGTTAGATATTAATCCTAATGATATTATTATTATTGATAATGATGTTGATTATAATCATTTCAATTAATTGTTTTGAAAATCAATTATTTTGACAAGTCATTTATTATCATTTCCATCATCATCATTATCATCCAACTGGACATCATCATTTACCTGTGTATGTGAGTATAAGTTTTGAACGTTTTTATATTGATATAAACTTTGTTATCAATTATATATTATGAGAGATAATCAATTTAATCATATTGACATGATCATTATAATTACCATAGGTTAGTATTTCTCATCTGTGGTCATTATTATGATTATTTTTTACTATCATTTGTCCAGGTATCTCTCTCTCTCTCTCTCGTTCTTGCTCTCTCTCTCTCGTTCTTGCTCTCTTCGTGATTGCGTGACATCAAAAGTGATAACTGGTCACCCAAAAATCAGATGAAAATATAAAAGTGATGAAATAAACAAGAAAAAAACCAAACCCACCGGTGGGAGAAGAGGAAATTGAAGATGCAAGAAAATTTGATGAATAATCAATGATAATAAACTTGATACAGAAAATGAATTGAAATTTATTTTCTGGTCTCAATGAGAATTATTATTACCACTTACATAATGATCTTCTTTTATATTGTTATGACTAAATGATGATACATGATGAGGATGCTGATGATGATGATGGACATCAATGAGAGAGAGAGAGAGATAGAATCTTTAAAGGGATCTCCCTAACATCGTAAATCAAAGTTATCATTTGGACTGTTTATTTGGAGGAGAAACTTTCATTTCATGTATTCTGATTTCACCTTTTTCATCTTGCTCATCATCTTTTTATATCATTCGAAGTTTTTTTCTCTTTCCAAAAGATTAAACATCGAATAGTTTTTCTCTCTGTTCAAGTTCAGTTGCGCTTCTCAATCTGATACACGAGGGACTTAGACGATATGTTATCATCATCATCAGATTCATATTTGTCTCTATCCTCTCATCATCATCATCACCATCACCCCTTCAACAAAAAGGTAGGGTCAAGAAGTAGACCCTTGAAAATGAATTTCTGTAAGTGAAATATGTAAGCCTGAGATATTTTCAAGCCTTCAGAGGGTTTCAAGTAAAAGTAACTGTCATGTTGGGAGATGTGGAGGAAGAGGAAGGTGGAAAAAGAGACAAGTCAGTCAAAATGAAAGGCGAGAGAAAAAGAAGGAATAAAGTCAAAAGGAAAATACGATAAGAAGACGAGGATGATGAAGATGAAAGTGATGGTGTAAGAGAGAAGATGGATAGTTAGAGAGAGAGAGAGAGAGAGAGGAGAGGGAACTTCAATGGAAAACTGCCTCATTGCCTCCTCATCTCTTTCGCTCATTCCAAGTTACACAGATTCCATGATGATTGCATGATGATGAAGATGAGTTTTGACAGAAAGGAGGAGAAAAGAATATAAAAAAATACTAATCGTAATAATAATTCCAGTTAAAACTTTTACCACACGAGTGAGCATTTGGTGGTACCCATGATGATGATGATATTACCTTCATTTCACTCCCTGTTTGTATAATAATATGATGAAATATATTCTACTTTATTTAAAGAAACATCAGTAGCTCATATTATGAGAAACTAAGGAGATGGAGATGAAGGAGAGTAGGAGTGGAATTGAGGTGAAAAGACAGTGATGATATTAAAAAGCTAAAAGGAGAACCTGAAGTTACTCGGAAAAAAAGGACCCAAAGCTTTCAGAATGAAAGGAAACATGATAACATGGAAGAGAAGAAAAAAAAGTTGCAAGAGTAACAATCAAATCAATTTGATTGTTTTCCTATTAAGCTGATGGATTTTTACCTTTTCAATTGTAATCATCATCATGAAAGATTTATTTCTCTTACAGATTCCATTACAATCTATTAATTCCCAGCCAATAGTTAACAAATATTTCATATTATTCTGGGATGCTAACTAATAATTCAGACTTGAAATCATAATAATAATAAATTTTGTATCAAAATAATAAAAGAAATGAAAAACAAAAAGTTTTGTTCCGTTTCAGTTGTTGAGTTTATCTATTGACCAGTAACCAAATGATAAAATAATGTTGTTTTTACATGTTCAACAATTTACCGATATTTTCATTCTTGATGATAAACAAAAACACAGAAAAATAAAATAATATTATTATTACTTATTCAATATATAATTTCTTATATTCACTTGTTATGAATTATTACTTGTAGCATGAAATGAAAACAACTAGACCATTGGTCAGTCTGAATGTTTGGTTATCTCTCTCTCTCTCTCTCTTATCCATTGACCTCTTCATCTTCCTCCTTTTTTGTGATATATTGTACTGTTTTTTCATTGTAATTGAAATGGTAACAGATTCATATGAATCTGTCACAATTCTGGTTCCCCTCCATGTAATTTACAGATTTTACCTGAACTTTTCTCTATCTATTTCAATGTTCACAATCATTATCTCATAAATCATGTAATAGTTTCATTGTTTTTTTTTCCAATCTCTTTCACACTAACTAATCATATGTACATTTGTATTTGTCTCTTAATATTATTATTACCACCTAATGGAGCTCAGTTGATTTGATTGATTACATTAAACAAACTGTCAATCAATCAATTGATTAAATTGTTCATTTGTAATCACAAGTTTCTTGTATCTAATCGTAATTGAATCTCATGTAAACAAGTGATGAAGAAGAAGAAGGAAAAAAAATTGTTTCCAATGTTACTTATTTACCTTTGATTCTGATTCTGATTCTTAATGTTATCACAACCAATGGATAAAATTGTTTCATCTAATTAATTTTATCATTATTTTGATAATGTTTCTTAGGTTAACTCATCTTGAATCATGAAAATATCATCCTCATCTTTATCTCTATCATCAAGCTGAACGTTTCTCCAAAAACGTTATTACTTATCCTCAGGCAGCTTCAGGGTGATGAGTTTGAACTGTTCATGATGTTGTTGATTATGTTGATGATGATGATAAACCTAAATATAAGTATATTTAACCTGATGATGATGATGATGATGATGTTTATTTACTGAGAGACAATAATTGCCATCTAGGTCAATAGATGATGATATTAACCCATGAGTTTATCATGAATCTACTCAGAATCTTCAAGTGATCAATATATTTATACATTTTGTCCTTGGAATTCATTTGTGTATCTTTT